CACTCTCACACACACACACACTCACACACGCATGCACACACATTTTGCACACATGCACACACACACACTCACTCTCACACACACACACACTCACACACTCACACACGCATGCACACACACATACACACATGCACACACACACACTCACTCTCACACACACACACACTCACACACTCACACACGCATGCACACACACATGCACACATACACTCACTCTCACAAACACTCACACGCACTCACACACATGCACACATACATTTACACATACACACACTCACACTCACACACACTCACACTCACACACACTCACACTCACACTCACTCACACACGCACACACCATTTCTCCTCTGTTGCCTCTTTCTTCCCTCTCCGCCTCCCGCCCGCACCCCATCTTCCACCGTCTAGGTCCGCACCATCGTCTTGAAGAACTGGTTCACTTTCTTCCGTTTGAGCGTCTTCTTGTCGTGCTTGTCGCCGTCCGAGAAAGGGAGGAAGGTCTGGCTGAGGCGGGGGGACCGGCTGCCATCCTCTGTCCCGGGCACAGCGGCCACCGAGAGCGTGAAGGCTGGAGGGAGAGGGAGAGCAGGTGGGAGAGTGGGTGAGTGGCAGGTGGGGGGCGCGGCCCAGGGGCAGGTGGGTGATGGGTGGCAGGTGGGGGGCAGGCAGGGCACAGAATCAGGGGAGGACGGGTCCCAGCCGGGCAGGGGCGGCGGCCGTGTCCTCTGCATGAGGCTGCCCAGCCCCTGGACAGCGAAGGGCCTGCCTCCAGGCCCTATGAACCCTCTTGCCAGGGCCTCTGGGCTGGCCGCGGGGGGCTCGGGTGGGGTGGGCCCCGACTTCCTCCGGGGACATGCCCTTCCCCTTCCAACACCCGGAGCCTGGCTTTCTCCTTTCCCGGAGGCAGGGCCAGTGGGGACAGCCGGAGTGACACCCGCTCAGAGTCACACAGACCCGAGCAATCAGCTACCTTCTGACCCTCGGCTTTGACATCAGCCAAATGGGGGTGAGAGCACAGACTCCCAGAGTGCCGTGCGGCCCAGGGCTGGAGCCCGGCCAGACCCCTCCTTTAGGGCTCTCCTGTGGGTCAGCGGGCAGTGTTGGGGCGGCCCCAGGGCACAGGCCTGAGTGTGAACTCGGCCTCTGCATGACTAGCCCGTGACAGGCAGGGGCGTGGCGTTCTCAGTGCCTCCGTTTCCTCATCCACACGGTGGGGCTATTGGCACCAGGCACTCCTCAGGTGGGCACGGAGGCGGAAATGAAATAGTGGGAGAAGCAGTGAGCACAGCGCCGGGCACCGGTCAGCACTGGGGAACAGCAGGCGTCTTGGCTGAGGCCCCCCTGCCCTGCCGTGTCTGGGGGCAGCACCGGCCTGTCCTGCTCCTCTCTGCCCTAGGCCCTGGCACAGGCAGCCTGGCACAGAGTGGCAGACGCTAGAGACTGCTGCGTGCCAGAGGGCATGCTCTTAGGCATGCCGCGTGACCAGCTAGGGCCTCAGGGTCCCCTCTATGAACAGGAAGGGTCGTTTGGGTGCTGCTAACCTCGCCGGACAGTGAATGGGTGCGGGGGAGGCACGCAGCATCCGCGCATCAAACACTCGTCACCTGCAAGAGGCGGGGGTAAGTTCCAGGTCTCCAAAGAGAACACGGGGCTCAGGGACCCGCTGCTGGCGCCTGGGGAGGCCCGGCTCGCTGAGAAAGCAGGGCCACCTGGTGTGATGAACGCTTTCCCAGGGAATCCTGAGGCCTGGTGACCGCTGGCCTCCGCCCCGGCGCCTGGTGGAGCTTGCAGGGTGGGGAGCAGCTCAGAGGACAGGGCGCCGGGCCCACTTTGCTGTCTAGACACACCTATCCTCCACCCCCAGGCTGGTGGCCCGGACCCTCTCCACACGCCCGCGCTGGTGGTGGCAGGGTGCATACCTGGGATGATGGGCATGGACTGGCTGGCAAAACTCATCTGAGAGAGGACGGAGGCCCTGGGGGGCACGGCCGCATGCTCCGAAAGGTTGGTGTCACTCATGAACTCGTGCTTCCTGGGAGAGCTGAACACACACACACACACACACACACACACACACACACACCACAGAGACTCAGCATGAGGCAGCTCTGGGCTGGAAAGTTAGTGACGAGGGCTTGGCCAGGCTTCTGTGGCCCCGCTCCAGGTTCATTTATTCTGTTTTGCATCATCCCGTGCCCGCGTGTGGTATGCACAGGCTGCACACTATACAGCTCCCGGGCGGGGGTAGGGGTGGCGTGTGGCATTCATTTAGCCCAGTGGTTCTCAACCTGTAGGTCGCGACCCCTTTGGCGGTCGAACGACCCTTTCACAGGGGTCGCCTAAGACCATCCTGCATATCAGATATTTACATTATGATTCATAACAGTAGCAACATTACAGTTATGAAGTAGCAACGAAAATAATTTTATGGTTGGGTCACAACATGAGGAACTGTATTTAAAGGGCCAGAAGGTTGAGAACCACTGATTTAGACTATCATGTGAATGACTCCCCCTGGAACTGTGAAACATGGGAATCTTATGCGACTCCCTGGGCAGGAGCCACTCTGGCTGGGCTCCCACTGTCCCTGGAGAGCCCAGCGGGTCAGTGGTTGGAGAGGCCCGGGGCCAGGGGCCAGAGGGCAGGAGCGGTAGAAACAACTGGCCCAGCACAGGAGGGCTGCTCTCCCTTCAGTGCGTTAAGCAAGCGCTTCTCCTGGTCTCACAGAGCCGCTTGTGAGGTAGAAAAGACACCCAGGCCAGAGCCCGGCGGCCTGGGTTCAAATCCCGGCTCCGCTGTGTCCAGGCTGCATGGCACCGGCCAACGCTTCACCTCCCTGTCCTCAGATGCCGCCTGCGTAACACCCACCTCACGGCAAAAGTGAGGCTTGAGTGGGGCTGTGTCTGGGAGCCCCGGGGACAGTGTCGGCACACAGTAGGTTTGCTATGGGTGGTGCTGAGGCAGCCTGCCTTGACGCTCACCCTCTTGAGGTCCGACTCGGCCGCTGCCTTCTCGTCGGCGAACACCACGCTGCTCCGCTTGGCCCGCTTCTTGGACCTGCGCAGCTTGACCTCCGGCAGCGTGCTCCCCGGTGGGGAGATGGGCTCCACCGGCTCCGCTTTCTGCGCCCTGGGGGGTGGCAGCTCCAGGTCGAAGCTGAAGGGCGAGAGGGACAGTGTGGCCACTGCAGTTAGAGCCCCTGCGGGACCGCCTCGCAGGGACCCAGGCTGACTGGGCTGTCGCCACAGGCCGGGAGGGAGACAGCTGACCTGGCAGAGCTTGGGGAGCCACTGGCCTAAGTGGCAAACTTTCAAAATACAAAGCAAGTCTGGTGGTGAGAAGAGGAAATCGATGGAAGATAGGGGTCTGGATTCAAATTCAGCCACTGCCACGTTTTAGCTGAAGGACTTTGGGCAAATCACTCAACCTCTCTGAGCCATTATTTCCTTTTCAGGAAATGGGGTGTTGGTGGTAACCTTGTGAGAGACAGCGATGAGGTCTGAGGACCCCTCAGCACACCCTTGGCCTGTGGAGAGCGCTGGGTTCACAGTGTCTGTCATCAGAGTCGCTGAGTAGGGCCTGGTGAGCCTAAGGCCAGGACGGTGGAGGGGAGGGGCCTGGCAGAGGTATGGGAGGGGGCCTCCGTGGTGGGGAGTTGGGAGACGATTCTGGACCCAGGCGGGCTCTGCGGGTCGCTCTGTGGGCAGGCGGGTCCTGCAGGACCCTCAGGAACAGCCCCCTTGCCTCTCGGGCCTCGAGTGCCCCTTTGATGGCGGCCGTAGGATGGCAGCCTCACAGGGTGGGGAAGGCTTTCGGAGGGAAGGGCAGGAAGGTGGAGGAAGGGCGGCTCTGGGGCAGGAGGAGGAGCGTGGTGGGGGCCGGGTCGGGGCCCAGGGTGCCCAGGGTGCTGTCTGGGGCGGGTACTGACCTCTCGGAGGTGGTCTTGCTGGGGGTGCTGCAGTCAGAGTTCATGGACGCCATGGAGATGATGGACATCTGCCGGTAGGAGCGCAGCATGGACCGGGGGCGGCCCACTCGCCTGTCCTCAAAGTCAGGCTGCGGGGGAGAAAGGACGGTTAAAGCCTGGCCCCACAGGTCGCTGGGAGCTGGGGTACCTGCCCTGCCCCATCCTCCAGCTGGGCGGGGGAGCTGGGGAGTAGAGCAGGGCGGAAAAACCCCCTGGCTGGTGGGACTGAGGGGCTGGCTGGATAAGGAATTGGCCAGGGCTCAGGGGAGGTGACTCTAAGTCCTTGCAATTTCCCCAGTGACAGGAGTGTCTTTGTTATATATGGTGGCCCTTCATGCTAATGAGAAGATTCTGGAAGGGGCCGGCCAGGCCAGAAATACTAAGGATGTGATGATAGGGCTGGGCTTTGAGCCATGTAAGCCCAACTCAGAGTCCCTGGAGGGATGGGGGCTGGAGACAGATTCCAATCCTGTGACCAATGATTCACCTAGTCATGTCTGTGTAACGAAAGGGCAATAAAAACTCAGGTCACTTGGGCTCAGGTGAGCTTTCCTGGAGGCCGCCTGCATCCAGGGGCCGGCAGCATAGGCAGTGTGCTGGGGACCTCCCCAGACCTCACCCTATGGCTGGTCCTGATGTGGGAGGGGAGTCTTGTGGACGTCACCCTTGACCTGAGAAAGCTGACCCGCTCTGACAGCATCAGCACTGGCCTGACTCATGGAGCCACTCTGGCACCAGGAGACAGGAGACAGGAGGCCCGAGTCCCCTCGGCGCCCCTCCGGTCACTCACTGCCCCTTGGCCTCAGCTTTCCCATCTGGGTTGACGTTTGATGACCCCACTTTCTGGGGAAGAGGATGAAGGTGCTCCTGTGAGTACCAGGCCAACGGCCTCTTTAGTCCGTGGAGCTTATGAGTGGCCGGAAGCACTGGCTTTGGAGGCCAACGGAGCCAGGCGTGAATTCTGACCTGCACTCATGCGCTAGGCAGCCTCTGGCAAGTCACTACCACCCCTGACCCTCCAGAAGGGATACGGGGTTAAATCACTCCCGCCTCACAGACACGCAGTGAGGACTGCGTGACCTAGCACATGTCCCATGCTTAGATCAGACAAGGCACACAGTAGGTGCTTCATTCGTGTAGCTTTTATGACTAGCACAGTCCCTTCAGTTCCCAGGGCCCAGTTTGTAAGTGGTGTTTGTCTGGGGGTGACTTCTGAGGGGTCAAGTTCACAGGGAAGTTCCCCTGAATCCTCAGCTCAGGCATCGAGGCCCTCGCCTCTTTCCCCTCAGGTCCCATCCTCCTCCCCATCCCCACCTCTCCCCTCCC